GAAGAATAAGAGCATTGCTCGGGCATGCAGGGATTAAAGTCAGGAAGGCCAAAGTGCAATTGGATTTGCAGCTAGCAAGGGATGTGAAGGGTAACAAGAAGGGCTTCTACTACAAATATGTCAGGAGCAAGAAGAGGATCAGGGAAAGTGTGGGTCCCTTACTGAATGGGGAAGCAACCTTGTGACCGAGGATGCAAAAAAGGCTGAAGTGCTCAATGCCTTTTTTGCCTCAGTCTTCACAGGCAAGGTCAGCTCCCACAGTACTGCATTGGGCAGCACAGTTTGGGGAGGTGAACAGACAACAGTAGAGAAAGAACAGGTTACAGACTATTTAGAAAAGCTGAACAGATACAAGTCCATGGGGCCGGATGGGATGCACCTGAGGGTGCTGAGGGAGTTGGCCGATGTTATTGCAGAGCCGTTGGCCATCACCTTTGAAAACTCACGGCTTTCAGGAGAGGTCCCAGATGGTTGGAAAAGTGCAAACATAGTGCCCATATTTAAGAAAGGGAAAAAAGGAGGATCCAGGGAACTACAGACCAGTCAGCCTCGCCTCAGTCCCTGGAAAAATCCTGGAGCAGATCCTTAAGGAATCCACCTCTAAGCACTTGGAGGAGAAAAAGGTGATTAGAAACAGTCAGCATGGATTCACCAAGGCCAAGTCATGCCTGACCAACCTGATTGCCTTCTATGATGAGATGATGGTCTGTGCATGTGGGACCAGGGGATGTGGTATACTTTGATTTTAGCAAGGCTTTTGATAGTCTCCCACAACATTCTCACAGGCAAAGCTAAGGAATTATGAGCTGGATAAATGGACTGCAAGGTGGAGAGAAAACTGGTTGGAGCATTGGGCTCAAAGGGTATTATCAATGGTTCAATGTTTAGTCGACAGTTGGTATCAAGTGGAGTGCCCCAGGGTCCTGGGGCTGCTTTCATTCAATATCTTCATCAACAACTTGGAAGATGGCATGGGTTGTACACTCAGCAAGTCTGCAGATGACACTAAGCTGGAGGGAGTAATAGAGATGCTAGAGGATAGGGCTAGGATTCAGAGTGACCTAGTCAAATTGGAGGATTGGGCCAAAAGGAATCTCAAGAGGTTCAACAAAGACAAGTGCAAAGTCCTGCATTTAGGACAGAAGAATCCCATGCACCAATACCATGGGGGCTAACTCGCTGGGCAGCAATTCTGCAGAAAACGACCTGGGGGTTACAATGGACAATAAGCTGAATATGAGCCAATCATGTGCCCTTGTTGCCAAGAAGGTTATCAGTATTGGGCTGCATTGGTAGGAGTGCTACCAGCAGGGCAAGGGAAGTGATAATTCTCTATTCAGCAGTGGTGAGGCCACATCTGCAGTTTTGGGCCCCTGCTATAGAAAAGATGTGGACAAATTGGAGAGAGTTCAGCGGAGGGCAACAAAAATGGTGAGGGGACTGGGGCACATGACTTCAGGAGAGGCTGAGGGAACTGGGCTTAGAGAAGAGAAGACTGAGAGGGGATTTAATAGCAGCCTTCAACGACCTGAAGCAGGGTTCAAAAGAGGATGGGGCTAGACTGTTCTCAGTGGTGGCAGGTGACAGAACAAAGAGTAACAGTCTCAAGTTGCAGCAAGGAAAGTTTAGGTTAGATATTACAAAGAATTTTCTCACTAGGAGGGTAGTAAAACACTGGAACAGGTTGCATAACCTCTCTAGGCAATCTCTATCCTTGGAGGTTTTTAAGACCCGTCTAGACAAAGTCTTGGCTGGGATGATCTAGTTGAGGATGATCCTGCTTTGAGCAGAGAGCTGGACTAGATGACCTCCCGAGGTCCCTTCCAACACTAATTTTCTATGATTCTATATTTGTGTAAATACAGTATTTAAAAAAAAAAATCAGTTTAATTGAAGTGATTTGGTCTAGGGGCCCTAGTTCAGTAACAGTGGGTTAAAAGATAAGTGCAACAGGCCCACATTATAGGCCCCAGTTTCTGGAGTTATACCAGAATTTCTATTTTTAGTTAAAACTCTCTCTCATAATCACAAATAGTCTGGAAGCGGCAACCAATCAATGTAAAGACTTCTGACTGCAGCGATGTGAAATAACATTCCCAAGCAGATATTATATGAAGCCTTATTGTGATGCACTGACTGCAGACTAAGACCCATTGATGTTAGACTATTAATAGCGACTCAATAGAAGATGCTATGCTTGACAGGAGGGAAACACCACAGTTGTCTCAGCCAATCCTCAAAATGAAGGAGGTCCTCAGTCTCATCACTGCCCCTTTGAAAGGACCTAGAACCACTGTTGCCAACTCTCCTGTTCCTGAGCAAACAGTTCTAGTGCTGTTGCTTCTAAGGGACGAAAAAGGGCCCCTTAAATGTGGGACAAGAGCACTAGACTGGAACCACAGGGGGTCAGATCACAGCACGTACAAAGTCTTGAACTGTCGTAAACCAGCCCCATGTTTGGGTCTAGAGACCAGAATCTTCTTAACTATGGCCTGATTCTTTCTAGAATATATTTTATTGCCTTGGGTAAATTGCTTACCTAATCCTTTCTCTTACTTCTTCCCTGGTTGCAAACTGGATATTGGCAATAGAGGATCAGTGTTTATACAGCACAAACACAAATATATTAAACAAGCTAAATATTTTAACAGAGAGATATTGAGACCGCAGTGAAAGCCAATGCAAATTATTTTTTTCCAAATTTCAGATGTATTAGCTGCACTGACTTATTTTGAATTGACATTTTCATACACTTAGGTTTTTATTACTTAAAGACCCTTAATTTTTCTAAGATTTGTTTGGAAAACAAAACCATACAACAATGCCTCTAGACAATTCCATAGTTCCTTGGGGGATGATTCAAAGCCCTCTGAAGTTAACTGGCCCTTCAATGGACCTTGGTATATCCCGAAGCAGGAGGATTTCCCTTCAGTTACACTTCTGGAATTACTGAGACTTAAAAAACAGAACAGATCACTAAGAGGTTTTTTTCCAATCCTATATCACTACTGTTTTAAGCTGACTGGGAATGTCATATTGGGACTATCTAGACATAAAATAATGCAGTGGGAGTAATAGAAATGTTGCTCTAAATCAACCAAGAACCCAACATTACAATACACCATAAAATCATCTCTTCATCGATATACTCAGCATGGTATGACAGTACAGTCCTTTTCATTCATGCCTTATTACTTAAAATGATCATCTTTATTAACATTGTGCTTTTAACCCATGTTTTTCAAATAATTATAAAAAAATTAAAAACCAAAATTGTTTTTAGACTGTTTGACAGATACCTCATGGAGTATTTGATGCAAAATGAATTTGTATATCAGTACTTTTAAAAGATAGCCTAAACTGGAAAAAGTATATCTTTAGTTCCCCAAAATATTTTATATTCCTGCAGGTAACTTGTTATCCCAAGTTTCAAACACCCAAGCATAAACTTTACATTCTGAAATAAAATACCACATTTTCTCACATACAATCTACCCTGGAATATAATATGCACCTTGTTTTTGAAAGGCAGAATAAATATTTTTTTCCCCCCCAAGAGTCTTGGCTGCATAGATCAGGGACATAGATCAGCCCAGTCTTCATCTGACTCACCCTCCCTTTCCTGCTTAACTAAAGCTGGAATTCTAGCTATTGTTAAAGACTGGTCTCCCTGGGATGGATAAATGATTCTGAAAAGAGCTAAAATGCCTCTCATACTGTAAAATAGGAAGAGACCAGAAGCAGCTACCAGACAGCAAAATTGCCCTAAGAAAGGCTAGCTTGATTAGTAGAACCTGAAGAATACTGAAGAAGACAGGTGGTATTAATATCTCTGAAGTAAAGAACAGTGAGATATTAAGTCAGTTGACTCCCTTTCAGATACCTGAATAGTAATGCAACAATTGCTGCACTTTGGAGCAGGAATCAAATCTGGGTGCTTCTATCCCAGTCAGAAAAGTAACTACCACACTTAACAAAGGCACCCCAGTTTTGGGGGGCTAATTTCTGGGGAAAAAGTTAAAGTTATGTGTGAAAAAATTACAGTAATGGTCTTTACCTATAGCATAATACCAATGCATCTTTAATATTAAAATAATGATTTGTATAATATACTAAAAATACTAAATAGCAGCATTTGAACTATACAGTTTACTATGCTAAATTAATTGCAAAGTGATATAGAAAGAGGGACATGTACACACAAGGAGATAAAAAAAATCTTAGGAAAAACACTTTCTCCTTTACTTACCTGCCAAAGTCCAAGTACAGGACAAACATGGAATTCTGACACAGCTAATCACACCACAGTCACCTAACTCACTCCCTGCACTGCCTGCGTTAGGAAAAAACTACAGAACTTGATGAACATACACTCTTACTTCAAGTGAAATTTATGAATTTATTAATAACAAAATCTTATTTCTCAGAGGCCTTTAAAATGATTATGTTAGATACTTTCTCCTGGTTATGTCTTTTGCAAAATACATGGGTAGGGAATGTGGCTTTATTGGAACGAAGCAGTGCCCAGACATTTTAAACTGTCTACCATTCTGATACTTCCTTTTTCTCAATGACTTCATGCTGAATTAAATCCCCTAAGAAAACTCCCAACTATAATAAAAGACTGAGAATTGCAGTTATAATACTGGGGACTAAAATTAAAACATTTTTCAATTCTGGGCATAAGGAAGGTGTTTCTATTTCAAGGAATTAAATAAAGTGCCCTTACTTTAAAATTTTAGGGACTAAAGCCAACTTTAGGCCAAAGAAACAGACAACTTTGTTGTACTTGTGTCCCAAGAGACATGGTATTTTAACTGAACAACAGACAATCAGGAAAAAAAAAACAATAGAAAACACTGAAGGAACTTATTAAGTCTTACTTTACAGATGGCACAAAATCCAGTCTTTTCAAAACAGGGTATAATATTACTTTCATTCAACAGACCAGAAAGTATACTTCATAGAATTTGTTTGGTCTTTTTTTAAAGTTATCTTACATGTACTGGTGGGTTTGGAGCTTGAAATCTCCCCAACAAAGATGGGCTCATCATCATCATCATCATCATCTTCCTCAACTTCTTTCACTCTCCTTTGCCATGGTTCTAGCTCCTCCTCCTCACATTCCATAAACAATTCTGCCATTTTGTAACTAGATAAAAAAAAAAGACAAATATAAAACATTTTCACAGAAAACCAAGTAAAGGAAGAAGTGTCCCAACTTTAAAAAATTATGATTACTGAACTTGATGCTAACGCTACCACAGGAAACTTCTATTAGTTATACATTTTGTAAAGGTGAACTGAATCCCTAGATTAAAAGTCCTCCTTTATCTGTTAATATTTCTGCAAATTACAAAAAGAATATAATCATGCTTCCACTGATGAATGGAATTGGCATGATTGTGCCTAAAATGCATATTAAAACTTACCAGAGCCCACTTCCCTTATACATTATTCCTGTTACCTTCTTCTCCAACTAATTTATGCCAGAACAAAATCCTTGTTTTGAGCTCCTAATCTCATCCTTCTTAAAAATCAGCTTCTGTCTTGTTTTCCACCTATTTCAGTCTTATGGCCTTTACCTGAAATATGGCATTCAATCATTGCTAGACAATGTGGGAGTGGCATTCTTATGATTGTTTTAGGTGTGATTCAAAAAAGGCAAATACTGTGTGAAAAACAAATAAACAAACTGGAGCTATAGGCGAGTAAAAAGTGTTAATAGATGGAAACAGATCCATTATGAATAGGAACAAATCCTACTGTGATGACGCCTAACATTCTCAACATAGTAATTAAGACTGAGTTCCTGCAACAACATAGGATGTGTTCTAGTTATATTTAAAAGCAAAGTTCAAAAAATTTGTGAAAAGCAATACGCATCTGTTCCAAGTAATCTATGATACTTGAGTATTCTGAAGGGTTTCAAGAAAACCAGAATCACAGAAATGTGGGATTGGATGCAACCTCAGGAGGCCATCTAATACAACTCCTTGTTCAAAGCAGGATTGTTCAATGGGTAAACTATCTAATCAAGTGGCTGTCTAACCTGCATTTAAGAGTGTCCAAAGACAGGGTCCCAACCTCTCCAGGTAGCCTATTCAAATATTTAACCACCCTCAGTCAGAAGATTCTTCCTAACATTGAACCTGTTGGATCCAAATTTCCCATTGCAATTTGAGACTATTGCTCCTAGTCCTGTACTTTGCAGTCACAGAGAAAAGTATATCTTCATCATCTTTATAACCACACTTCAGGTATCTAAGAGCATTATCAAGTTCCCCCCTCAGTCTTCTATTCAGACTAAAAAATCCTAGTTCTTACAGCCTTTCATCACAGGCCATATTTCTCAGGTCTCTATTTTTTCTCACTCTCTGTTGGACTCTCTCATCTGTGCACATATCTGATGAAGTATGGGGGCTCAAACTGGACACAGCACTCCAGATGAGGTCTCACCGATGCTGAACAGAGCTTTATAATCACTTCCCTTGATTTGCAATTGATACTTCTAAGCTACTGACCTTTTTTGTAACAAGAGCACCTACTATTCAGCTTATGGTTCACTATAAGCTTTGGGTCCTTTTCTGATGTCCTGCAGCCTAGCCATTTATTCCACAGTCTGTTTTTGTGCATGTGATTGTTCCATCCCAACCACAGCACTGCACTTATCCTTTCTGAATTTCATCCAATTGATTTTGGACCATTTCTCCAGTTTATTAAGGTCATTCTGGATCACAGCCCTACCCTTCAGAGTTTCTGCAACTACACCCAACTTGGAGGCACACGCAAATTTGGCAAACATGCACTCAATGCCACCCACCAAATCATTAATGAAGATGTTACCATTAATGAAGACACCCAGAACAAACGCCTTCAGAACCCTACTCCAAATACCTCCTCCCACATGGATATCACGCCATTGATTACTACTTGTTGAGCACTATGATCCATCCAGTTATCTATCTACTTTACAGTACTTCCACCTAATCTGTATTTCCTTAGCTTACTGGGAATGTCATAGGCAATTGTGTCAAAAAGCCTGCTAAAAATCAAGATACGTCATATCCACGTCTCTCCTCATCCATATCACCCATCATCTTCTCACAGAATGGAATCCAGTTGGTTAGATGTGACTGGTTCATGATGAATCTATACTGTCTGTTCCTGAACACCTTCATAGATTGTAAAGCCGGAAGGGACTTCAGAAGATCATCAGGTCCAGCCCCTGCACCAAGCAGGAAAGATAACTGGGGGGCAGGTGAACCCAGCAAGTTGACAGTCTAGTCTTCTCTTGAAGATTTCCAGGGTAGGTGATTGCTCCACCTCTGAAAGGAGCTTATTCCACAGTCTGGACACCCTGACTGTGAAGACATTTTTCCTCATGTTGAGCCCGAATTCATCTTCAAGGAGTTTGGGCCATTACTCATGGTTTTCCCCTCAGATGCTCTGGTGAACAGTTGCTCGCTGAGCCCCTGATGTACTCCCCTAGTGTAGTGGTAAGTTGCCATCAGGTCCCCTCTCAGCCTTCTTTCCTTCAGGCTGAAGAGTCCCAGGTCCCTCAGCCTTTCCTCGTATGGCTTGCATTTTAAGACCCTGATCATAGGGGTGACTCTTCTTTGGACTCTCTCAAGCTTGTCCATGTCCTTGTTAAAGTGTGGTGCCCAGAACTGGATGCAGTACTCCAGCTGCAGTCTCACCAGTGCTGAGTAGAACAGAAGAATCACCTGCTTGGTTTTGTTGAGGATGCATTGATTGATGCATGTCAGAATATTATTTGCCCTACTGGCTACAACATCACACTGCCGGCTCATATTCATACTGTGGTCTATTATTACGCCCAGGTCCCTTTCATTGGTGGTGCTAGTCAGTTTGTTCTTGTTCTCTAGGTTCTTCGCAGTGACCTTGATAACCTACTCCCTTCATCTTTCCTGGCATTGAGCTAAGTCTGACTGGTCTTTAATTCCACAAGTCTTCCTCCTCCTTTTTCTTAAAGATGGGTATTATATTTACCCTTTTCCAGTCAGCTGGGACCTCACTTAACCTCAACAAGATCTCGAAAAAGATAAGTCAATGACTCTGAAATTACCTCAAATAATTCCTACACTACTCTAGGGTACATCCCATTTAGCCCTACTTATCTGAAAAACTCAGCTTCTCCAAATAGCCGCTAACCTATTGTGGGGTCAACCCTTTTAGCAGGTGTGCCACAAAGTCCCACTCTACTTCCCAAGTGCCACTCCGATCCCCTTCAACCACCCAAACCACTGCTTTCCTCCCTGCCCTAACTACTGTTGTTCTCCCTACTGGATGTACTGCACACATTTATCATAACCAATTTGTACAAAGAGTGATAACAAAAGTTTTTGCATTAATGTTTTTTATTGTGCAACATGGCATAAGGAAGCCTTTCTGAACAGTGTAGGAAAATAACTTAAAATTATTTTTGCCATATGCTGACAAAAACATTTTCTGTACCTAAAAAGTAGAGGCTAAAAGGCCAAATAGGAAATAGATTTTTCTAGTCAAATGATATTTTTATTGTGTTGAAGAAAATCGCCAACAAAACAAGTTACCTTATAGAAGATCAGGCCTCCATTAAGCTGTTCAGCTGCTTCAGAAGCAAGCAGATGAGAATCTCTGGTAAAGATGCTACTGCTCTGTTTCATAATACAACCTGTATGAAAATGTTTTTATCCACTAAAGAAAGCTTTCATGTTCTTGGTGTGATTTCAGCCAATACATGAGTGCACTAAATTATAAAAGTAATTGAATAAAGAACAGGTTCTTCAACTAACTTCTCTGCTCAACAAAGATTGTGATCTTCAGGAAAGGACTCTTTGTATTCAGGGAAAGATTATTTGTGTTTAAAACAAAATCCTCAACATATATATAAGTGAACATTTTTCAGAAAAAAGGTAATTTTTCATCTCATGTGAATGTGCCATTAAGGGGGAGCAGGGAAGGCAGAGAAGAGTAACACTAGAATACTGGTATTGTTAAGGCTGTCCTGCTGCAGTAAAACACATTCAGTTTCTTCCTTCCATGGTGCTAAGCTCATATAAGCTTTTTCTCCTGGTGATTTCAGTATCCACATTTAACCTAGAAACATTTCTAGATGATCTCATGATCACCACAACTATTGTGAGCTCAGCACATTCCACTAGGCATGCTTTGGGATGGCACCTCCAATCACAATGGCACCATCTCTTGCAGTCTTGAACATGGATCAAGTTTTGCTCAAACTATGTATAAGGGCATTCTGGTGGTCTACCAATGATAATTAATGCGCACTCTTTATTTCTCAGTTTTCTTTAAGAATCTATTATCTGTGGCTGACTAAGTTAATTCCTTGTTCTTAAACACAGATACTGTAGTGTGTAAGTAGGTGTCATTATAGGTGTTAGTTGCATTCTTTTAGTATTGATTATATTATTTCTAACCTCTCCATTACTGAAAACTGCAATTATAAAGTTTTACACCAATTCAGAATCTGTTTCTTTTACCATTTCAATCTGACTTTAAATTTGGGCATAGTAATATGACTGACCTGGTGACATTAGCTTGTAATCTCTTAAAACTGATATGGTCAGTCATCCAAACCATTTTCTTAAATGTAAAAGTAGCAGTCAATTATCTTGTTTTCCCTCTTTCCTGATACACATGCCAACTATGAATGGAGTGAACATGTTTCTGAGATTCTTGGCATAGCCGATCACAGAAGTTAGTTTTAGAGATGCTCCTTTTCATGTTGGTTACTGTAAGACTATTCTCATCAACCTTTTGATCAGCAAGGGAAAAGAAAATACATAAAAATGGACTGTCGTGTTTACACAAATGATGCCAGCTGTTTCACCCCAAATCACCTGCTTAATTCTGACCAGATCTACTACTTTTCTAACATTTGTTTGTCCAACTTGAAAATTTGAAAGTTGAATCTTAATTCTGAGTACAGAAATAATGATGTTTACTGGATTAAAAATTTGGGAACAGAAAAGTGGAAGAATCTAGAGAACAGTGCCAAGATTGTTCCCTCTTCTATTATAAATGAAATGCATCCACCCTTTATTTAAAAAGGTTTGCATTTTGATGTGCTAGGGAATCTCAAGGTACTCTATCATCACAGGTGGATTTCTGGCCAGAACCATGTCC